TTGTTCTCCATCTAGTGGCTCTATCATTCTGAATATGACAACCACCAGGCTTCTGAATTATGGATCTCTTCAGAGTATGCTGTTAAAGTCTTGGGCCAAACATAAGAATTGTTCTTAGATTATTGTTACTTCAAGCAAGCCTTGTTACTTCTTTTCGTTAGTTCTCTATTATTCGCCTTACGTACTTGTTAATAAATTAATTTATTTGCTGTTCTGTGATTGAGTTTTACCTGAGTAGGGGTGTTAAACTCTGACATTTCCACAAGTTTTATATTTTTGACGTCGGTTTTGCAAGTGGAACTTGGTGATTGATTGGAATCCAGCATTAGAACTATTACATGATGAATAATGAAGTTTATTATCGATGCATATATAGATATATGTATATATGTAAAGTGACAACTCTTCATTTTGAGTATCTTTACATGGTATTTTGAGTGATTTTTTGAGAGTTACTCCTCCGGTCCTAATTATAAGACCCAATTGACTTATTTGAGGAGATTAAGGAAGTAAGTTAAGTTGGTTATTTATAATAAATAAGTGTTGTTATTCCTAAAATATCCTTGCTAATTAAGTATATTGGCTAAAACTATTATTATTAGAAGGATTATCTGGGAAAAAAATGCATAAATATAAGAGAGAAAATGGATTGGGTCTTATAATTAGGACCAAATAAAAAGTCAAATTGGGTCTTATAATAAGGACCGGAGGAGTACTATTAGAATTTTGAGTGATATATTAAAGAAATTAATTTGGAGCGTTAATTGGGGGATTATTTCATTGTAAATATCTAAGTTTTAAAAGAAATAAAAGTAGTTAAAAGTAATTTTAGGAAGTTAAGATTGGGTTATCTTACCTTATCTCTCCTATTTCAGTTTATTTTTATTTTATTTTATTTTAGTTTATTTTCTTTATTTTTTTAAATTATGTTTTCTTCTTCTCCCTTAGCCAGATGCGCACGGTTTTGAGGAGTTCAGATTTGGGAAGCTGAAGCCATAAGTTCACTGCGGAGGAATTAGAGAGAACGACAGCGTTGTAGCAAAGGAGAGGAGCGGAGAGTTATGGAGGGTTAAGAGCAAAAGAACCACGATCGACTGGGGAGGCGGCGTTGTTTACTGTTCATCGTCTTAGGGTTTTTTTTACTAATGTACTGTAAATAGTAAAAAAAAAAAATTACCAAAATCCTGCAAAGTGAAAATTATTTATCAGAATACTATGTTTAACATCGTTCATATAAAGAACATGTTTAAAATTTTGAGAAAGTCGTTTACTCCAAAATGAATTTTATTTTTACTCTTTGTCACATCATCCTATCAAGTATCAATCCTGGTACATACATTTTTTTTGAATAAAAAGTATACTCATCATGCATGGAACGATTTTGCCTTCCTCTCTCCTCTCTCCTGCCACTGGAATCAAATGGAGTGCTCGCAAAATCGATGACTATGGAATAGTTTGAAAAAAAATACGGTGATGGCCATTTAGGAGAGAGAGAATGATCGATAGAGTTAAAATACAAAATATGGAGTAGAGCAAAAATGCAAAATAGACGAATCAAATACACACCCTGTTAATTCTTAATATAAAATATATTTATTTAATTTAAATAGATTAAAAAAATAAAAAAAATATTTAATTATAAATATGAGAAATAAGATAAATAAATATCTTACACTTAGGATCAAAATTCATCCTAGGACTAAGTCCTACATTTATGATGGGAGGAGTATATTATATCAAAAACTGTAAAAGTATTTTTTCCTAAATGTAAAACTTTTATTTATCTTAATTCTTATATTTATCATTTTTTCTAAATATAAGACCTTTATCTATTTTATTTCTCATGTTTATAATTTTTTCTAAATATAAGACCTTTATCTATCTTATCTCTTATATTTATATCTATCTTAATTATCATATTTATCATTTTTTCTAAATGTAAGACTTTTATTTATTTTATTTCTCATATTTATAATTTTTTTCCTAAATGTAAAACCTTTATCTATCTTATCTCTTATATTTATAAATTTTTTAAACTAAAATACTTTTACATTTTTTGATACAATCTATTCCTTCGTCCTAAATGTAGGACTTAGTCTAAGGGTGAATTTTGATCATAAATGTAAGACATTTATCTACTTTATTTTTCATATTTATAATCAAGTAATTTGTTTAGTTTTTTTAATCTATTTAAATTAAATAAATAAATCTTATATTAGGGATTGACGGAGTGTGTATTTGATTTGCCTATTTTGCTCTACTCCATATTTGGTATATTAACTCTATCAATCATTCTCTCTCTCCTAAATTGCCATCACCGTATTTTTTTCCAAAACTATTCCATACTCATTAATTTTTCGAGCATTCGATTTGATTCTAATGGCAGGAGAGAGGAGAGGGGAAGGCAAAATTGTTCCATGCTTGATGAAGTTTACTTTTTTATTCAAAAGAAATGTATGTGTCAAAGTTGATAGGATGACGTGACAAAAAGTAAAGATAAAATTTAACTCGTTCTTTATATAATTTTCACTTTACAGGATTTTGTTAATATTTTTTACTGTTTGCAGTATATCAGTAAAAAAAGCCTCTTCTTTAGGGAAGCAGAGACGCGGGCGAGGTAGCAAGGGAGAGGGAGAGGGCGAGCTGCACAAGGAGGCGACTGTTCATTCTCTTCTTCTCTGGACGAGGGGACGAGTTCAGCATACTGAGCCAGTGGATCGAGACCGACGGCGAGCACGCTGCTGTTCTTCCTTTCCTTCTCAGAGGAAGCTTGAGAGAGTAGCTGAAGAGGAGGGAGATCAGAGGCTGCTTTCCGACGAGAGCAGGGAGAGACTGCATTGTTTGGAGCTTTGGGGTCTTCTCATTCAGTTCGCATTCATTTCGTTTTCCATCATTCTATCGTTCAGTTCATTCATTCCACTGTTTATATTCTTCTTCCATTCCATTATGTCATTTTGTTTCGAATTTATTGTTGCCCAATTCAGATTGCTTAAAGCCATGTGCGACTAGTTCGATATACAACCCAGAGAAACTATGAAGTTGTTTGTGATCTAGAGAATATTCCCACTTTTAGTTATACTTAATTTTAACTCAGTTGAGTTAATTTTGGGTTTATTGTAACTTGCTCGGTCACCACTGAGCTTGTTTTGGAAATTTAGAATTGAACTTGACGAAGGGAATATTAAACAACAGACCATGAGATTACGTAATATGAAATTAGATTTGATCTAAGGACAGACATATACTTGGAGGCTCTATATAATCAAATTAGAGTAAAATTAGGTTAATTTGCTTCTCATAGGAGGGTATGCTAGGTTTAGTTATTGTAATACAACCTCCGGTCCTAATTATAAAACTCTATTTATAGTATACAAACAAGATCTTATAATTAAGACCAGATGTAGTATGTAATTCGACCACTAGCGAGAAGTGAGATTGTTATGTACTTCCTAAACTTGATCCTTTACTAAGAACTTTTGAAGGATTTTCTTAATATTATTTATGGGGGGGGGGAACTCCAGTTTAGATTATTTATTATTATTTTCATTAAAATGAAATATTTATTAATTGGATCAATTATTGAAAACAACCACTCGATTACTAGATGAGAATATTTTGGTAAAGAAATTTACAATTTTGACATATTTATAAAACCCAACTGACCTTAACTGCGTTTCTTAATTTTTAAAAACTAATTATTCTTCTCTTATAAAAAAAAGTGGAGGATGTGCAGAAAATTAAGAATGAAGAAGTATTAGAAATAGACAGAAACATAATCAAAACACCATAGGCTTTTTATTTTTCAGTTCTTCGGATAAAACTCCATTAACAAATGCTTCGAGATCCTCCTTTGCCCTCAGCCGTATCATCCACGAGCTCAGGATATATAATAATTCCATTAGCAGGGGCGGTTACTCCGTTTTTTGGGGGCCATATATAGGAGCAATGATCACCTCAAAACAAGCATTTTACTAAATGCTATATCCACTTACGCACGTATGTTTGAATTAATTGTGGGAAGAATAAATTTTGGATAAAATTTATTGGTAAAATAAATTGTCTTGAATTATGATTCATAAAATGATTATAAAACTGATTCACAACGATTATTTGAAACTTTTGTTAACAGCTTATGGCTAAATCAAAATTTAAACCCAATAATAGATTTTATCATTAAGACGGGTGCATAGATCATCTTCAACAGAAACAAAGTTTAGCTAGATATAATTTATTATCGTTGGCAAAAAAACTTATTATAAACTCAATCTAAACAGGTAAAAAGTCGTCACTAAAGTCTATTATATTACATATTGTTAAATAATAATACTATTATTAAATATTTATATTTAATTTTTTATTTGATTAAAATATTTATTTATAATATTCATTTTGTATAAAAAAATATAATTCATACAGTATTATTTGTTATATTTTTTATTTCTAATTATTTAAGCTATTATATTATTTATTTTAGTATTTATATTTATAATTATGTAATATGAAAATAATATATAAAATAATAATAAAATTTAATACTATAATTGTGCTTTAATGTTCTTCTGCATCTGTGATTGGCATAAAGAATGAGCATATTGAATGCAAATTAACCTGAGCTGGACTTGATCTTATGGTTTTATATTTGAATGAGGCTGAATGAAGTCAGATATGAAATATGCAGGGCAATACTATTGGTTCCAAATTTTAACAAATCAACCATTTTGGCTCGCAATGGTTTTGGTCTATTCAAGGTTGTACTATTCTATCTTCTTATTATGAAATAACTACCCTATACATTTATTCATTGTTTTTGTTTTGCTTTTTTGGTTGGACAGGTTGTTCGGTTATAGCACCTTGGTTGAGGTTTGTGCCCTTCTTCTTGCCTATACTTTTGTTGTGTATACACCAATAAAGGCCTCCTTCCTCTCTGCCATTAAGACAGTAACACTGTTTCCAATCATTTAAAAACTACATTTAATTAACCCCATTTGCCATGAACGCAGAATGAGCAATACCAAGCTTGGAAGATTCTAGCACTTATATCAAAGAGACTGGTGGAACCTTTGGATTTGTCATCACTTCCTAATATCTTGCTATCAGGTGCCTGCCATTATGACTACATATTTATTTTATTGAAAATTTGCATATCTCATTTTGCAACTGCCCCTTTAACAGTACATGTGCACTAACAAAATAAGTCAACCTCTTCATAATTTTTCTTGAGTATTAACTATGGACAACGTTTAAAACGCAAATGAAGTGAACTATATGTAACCATTGAAGTACCTGGAAAATGTGTGTTCCATCAATTTAGTATTTAGAAATCGATGAACATCATTTTACTCCAAACAGTTTTTAGGATCTTTCAATATATTTTCTTCCAGCAAGAATGGCACTGGTTATGATGTTTTAGTTTCTTGCTTTAGGTGACTAAAACTAATAATAATTAATTTTAATTATAACAGGTTATCACCTGTCAAAAAAGTTTTATGAACAGGTTGATTCTTTCACGTGGAAGTAGCTGAAACATCATTCTCGAATGCATTAGTTATTTCGTCACAGTGTGCTGGGACAACAAGTGGAGCCCATTTCTTTCAATTGCGCGTGGGATTTCCCTCCCCTGATGATGATCGTCCTCAAAATAATCCCTCCATGAATGTATTTACTGAACAATGTTTTTGGAAGCAAATGAATTAGCAGAGTCCCTGGAGCATGCGTGTTTTTCCATCATCAGCTAAGGCGTTTGTCTTCATAAATTAATGATCATCAATGTCTTGTCTCAATGGTTTATTTCGCCTTAAATTTTGGTCATATATGGCAAAATCATATTTATGGGTTTTCTAAGGGTATCAAGGGTAATTCACTCACCAAATTGAAACTTGCTCCTGTGGTCCTGTCATAGGACAGAGGGAGAAACATTTTCCCTCCCATTTATGAGACGCGTGTTGTTAAATTTTTATCATAAATGTATTACTTACCCTTCATTTTTGTCTAAATTTTTTTTTTGGAAAGTGTAGGTGTTAGATAATGGTAAAGTTTAATGGTTACTCTTTAGTCTTATTTATAAAAAAATCTTTTAGTATATTTTGCACAGATCAAGAAAAATATTAAATTGTATTGACTTTCTATTAAAATATAACAACTTTTCAACTTTATGTCTATTTAATATATACACCTTTCAAAAACAAAATAATCACCTACACTCTGATAAATGAATGACAAAATAATATATTCATTCTAAAAATTAAATGACATAACTTATAAATAGAAAAAAAAAACTTCTCTTTCTACCTTATAAATAAAACTGGATGAATAAATTTTAAGGTAAAGTTTATAAAGTTTAAGATTTTTTTGCAATTTTAGTGAAATATATTAAAGGTAACTTATAAATAACACGAGAATTATGAATCGGTAGAATCTTCAATTTCTAACTTCTGAGATCGTGTAGCGAATAAAGGTCTTGAACCAGTTAAGGGAAGACTGACATGCTTGGTTACATCTATAAATACAACATTTGTTGGCAATTTAGCATGGTACAGGAACGTGGATGCCTTAAATCCATCTCTAATTGAGAGAGCTTTTTGATTTTTGACCAATATGCCACATTGAATTTAGTTTGCTTCCACCTAATATTCCTGATTAGAATTTTCTTACCGAAGTTGCTGGATAAAATAAGAAATGAGTTAAGAGTGAAAAATACCTATAAAAATATATCAAAAGTTCATCCAATACTATGAACTTTTTTTGGTCTCAAATCTACTAATCTAATTTTAAAAAAACCCCAATAATGACGGTGCTATTAAAATGAACAAATGTTTGTTACTTTTACAGTGGGACTTAACGATATTTTTAATGAAAGTACTAAAATACTCTCAATTAGAACAAAAAAAGTTAAGGTTAAAAATTTTCTTGAACTTATACCAAAACTTTACTCAGCACCATATAATTTTTAATGAACTTACCAAATGGTAAGCATATTTAAACAAAATACATAATAGATTTTTCAACCTCCTCTATCTTCAAGCTCTACCAATCACAGCTCCCTTGCCCTAGAAGTACTTGCTTTTGATGTATGACATGGAAGAAAAAGGTGACTCTAAAGAATTCCAATAGTAACAAAATTCCTTCATGTAATCATATAAGATCACAAACAAACATGATACCAAGACTAGAGAGAACACCACCTTGCAACCAAATATAATCAATGATGCACCAACTTCATACACTTACATAGCCAGTCACTAACTATCATGCCTACATTCCAAAATAAATGGAAACTAGTACATATTGTCATGACGAATCATATCATGTAAAGGCAATTTACATGTTCTCATGCATAATAAGCATAATGGCACATTCAAGTATGCGGCAATCAATGCACAATCACAACAATGTTAAAGAGTTACTACCTTAGTTTCTTTGACCCATGAAATAGTTTACTTAAAAATTTCAAGTCAAAAATCCACTCTTAACTATTTTTCTTGAATTCTTCAAGAAAATAGCCCTTAATTTTGAAAATTAATCCTTAACACTTATAATGTGTTAGCTTCCTTATAATGGATTTAATATCTCAATTAACTGCTTTATTCCAAAAAATAATTATTCTAAAAATCGCAGCTCAAAAATAATCCTCTAACTATTTTTTCTCTAATTTCAAGAAAATAAGTCTTCTTAATTCCCTAAATTAGCTTTATAATTATTTAGACCATATTTTAAGGATTTTAATCTTAATAATTTCTCTAAAAAATTTTCTCCATCATGCTTTAATTAAATCCACAAAATTTAGGATATTACAAGAACTTAGGTGACTAGCCACCGAAGGTCGGAGGTTTGGCGACCGACGCTAAGGTGGTTGGCACTGGAGGTCAGAATTCCAGCTACCAGAGCTTGGGTGACAATTAATATTCTTTTAAAATAATATAAAAAGGAGGAGTATTATTGTATTTTCACTGTTAAATTTTGATTTCATTTTGGTTAAAGGGTGGATTGAAATTTTGAAATTCTTTAGGGTTTGACTGATATCAAGTTGCTACATGGGGTTTCATTGAAATTCTCTTCTTTTTTTTTTTTTGAAGTGCTTCCAAGGCATTCCAAGCACCCCTGTATTCCAAACATCCCTGTTTTGTTCACGTGAAGCCCTAGAACAATTCTATATAGATAGAGTTATTTTTATTTTAAATAATGTTTGTTAATTTACGCAATTTAAAAAATAAAAACATCATATTAAAAGAGTAAAATGTAACCATGTTTTATCAACGTTTAGTTGTACAGTCACAAGTTAAATTTATTGAGTTAACTTTTCCCCGGTTAGGTGAAATCGAGAATGTTAAGATTCAGTGATTGAAAATGCACTTTATAAAATTAAGAAGCTAAGTTGAAACTTGATGAAAATTTAGAGGACCAAACATATACAGTAGCCTCAAAAAAAATTAAGGGTTAAAAATACCCATAAAAATATACTAAAAGTTTATCCAATACCACAAACTTTCTTTATGTCCTAATATACCAATCAAAATTTAAAAGCAGATCAAAAATACCAACACTGTTAACATCTGTTTTTTAGCGGTGGGACCCACAATTTTTATATGAAAATATCAGAATACCACTAATAAAAAAAAATTAAGGGTAAAAAATACCCATGAACTTGTACTAAAATTTTACCAAACGCTGTAATTTTTAATTAAAGTATTAAAATATTCCAATATTGAAGGGCATAGCATTAGAGTGTGTTAGAAATTATTAATTATAACAAATTTTTATATCACAATCTTTACAATTAAAAAAGATTATTAATATTTCTTAATAAAAATTTTTCTTGATCAACAAATTTGTGTTTTTTTAATTGTTATCATATTCATTGTTATGGCTCAAAATATTTTAATAACATAAATATTATACATAATGACTAAATATATTTTTTGTAACTTATCATGTTTTATATTTTAATATCATTACTACTTATGTCGGAGTGTTTTAATTCTAAAAAATTGTTAAATAAAGTTAACAAAATAAATATTTACATTTTAATCCTTTGATTAATATTCATTTGATATTTTCATATTTTCAATTCAATTTTAAAAAAATTAATTAATTCTAGAAAAAAAATTATATAAAGATGCTTTAAAATTTGATTGATATAAAAAGAATACAAATCCATCTTGTTATAAGAAGGAGGATTTTTTTCTTGAAAAGCAAATGAGCCAAGAACACCATTAATAGATTGAAGAGTGATGGTAGTTTCTTTTTTGTTTTTTTTTTTAGGGACAATATTTTGATACCTTCATTGAAAATAATATATTCTACTATTAAAAGTGGCTTTAAATTCTCTCAAAGAATGAAATATAAACATAAAAAAAATCAAATTAATTGTTAAATTTGATAACATAGACTGAAAGATAAACACAACTCTATATGTCGTTGATACAAACAACTTATTTTCAAAATATATCTATAATATCTATTAAAAGAAAAAATTGGGGATATAAAAAACTTTTACAGCACACTCCTCTATACACCTTGATATGAGCAAATTTATTAATTATGGCTGAAGACTTACAACCAAACTTTTTATTGAACTTTGAATCATGACTTATCATTTTATTTTCTTCAAGATTTATGCTATAAAAATAAGAACTAGATTCATTCTTGGAAAAATCGCTAAAAAGAACCATCAAAATTGAATTATTACATACAAAGACCCATTCACAAAAATTGTTGTTAAAACCCGTACTATTATTGTCAAAAACCATACTAATGTTATAAGGAGTCCCTATTTATAATTTTTCTATTTCGGAAGCTTTTTTTTTGCGATTTTCCCTTTATTCTTCAGGTACCTGATAACAACTTTTATTTATCAGAGCTGTAAAGATGTTATTTTTAAAAACTGTACTTTTCTATTCCAACTCTAATAAATCATGCTTTGTAAATTCTAATTCTTTCATGCCCCAGATATATTATCAATATATACATAAATACATACACACTAACTCCCCATCTATGCTAAACTACCCCCTATCACTCATCTTTATGTAGGAAACCCTATAAGTGAAATCTACGTAACTTCTCAAAAGGAAGTATAAACATCACATATCACAAAGAAAAGAGGAAACATTACATCGAATGTATTCAAGATTAATCAATTAACTAAGCACTAAGTTCTTCTCTCCTTCAACCTTAGCTATGCTTCCACCAACTCCTCTTTCCTCTTGGATGAATTGGGCCCTATGGTTAAATAGAAAGGAGGGGTAAGACTCAAAAAATCTCAGTAGTAATCATATTTCATATATTATACGTGGTAAAAAACTAAGCATGCAAGGCAAGCCATAGAGAATAACACCTTACAAAATAACTGAACTGAACTGAATGACTAATTGAGACATATTTGCTGTCATTTAATTGAAACTCATATAACTGCTATGTATAACTAAATAACTGGGCAGCTGCATAACTAACTAACTGAACTGTAGAACTGTATAACTAAGCAGTTGCTAACAAATCATCTAAACTGCATAACTGAATAACTGAGTAATTTGTACAGCTACTAACTGATTAATTGCATAACTGTGATTAACTGAAAAACTGTGCAGCTATTATCTAATTAACTATTAAATACATATATAATAAACAGTGAAATGCATACACGACCATGGCAATAACTAGTAAGGCAATTTACATGTTCTCATGCTTAACTATAGCATTATGACACAAACAGACATACCACCAAAACAAAACATACAAAATAATGATTAAAGCTACCTTTCTTGCCGGGTACCTTGGTTTGAGTTTCTTCTTAGTAAACCGAGCCACCAATTAAAACCTAACAGTGCATGTATATATATAAGTTAAGTCAAAACTGGGGTTATGGCTAACCCATATATAACTAAATCTCTCTATAAACCCCCTCTCGGGCCAACTCTCTTTAAGGGGATAAGTCATCTTGGGTAAAATTTTATCTTTATAAGTCTAAGGGTCTATAAAGTCTCTCCTTTACTTTTGTTGCTCTTAACTTCTTAATCCACTATAATTTAGTTTAGGGAAAAGATTTAACTTAGTTACCAAATCTTCATGTTTCTAGGATTATGATTAGCAAGAAAAACAAACGTACATCATCATTCAATGTCTTTGATTATGAATAGCTATACAAAACATTAACTTGACATTTAGAGATATTTAAAAGGAATTTCAAATTAGTTCCTCAGGTCTAGCTCACTCTTATACATTTCACAAACATGGATGGTTTCATCAAGTATGTCAGTTTCCTTTCTTATCTGTTTCGAACATTCAATCTCACTCACACAGCTGAGAATAACAGTTTAACATCTAAACATATAATTCAGCAACATTCACAATAACTTTCAACTTTTAAAAACATTATCCAAATCACTAGCAATGCACAAAACCTCTATAACATTTCAAACAGCACCACTTAATCAAGCCCAAACTTTCGACTATACTTGAGCATCTGTTTAACACTATGTATAGCAACTTTATATTTGTAAATACCAAACAGCAACTTCTATTAGATCTTCAGCTCCAAGCCTTTTATTCTATCCATTATATTAAGCCTTTAATAATTCACACATTGTCATTCTTAATGAAACAGTGGCTATTTTATGTCCTTAGTCTTTAAATTACAGGACATGAGATTGTAATAGTAAAATAATCAATTCTCACGCAGCAACCATGACTACTCTTAATAGAATTGAGAATTCCTAACTTTCAGCTGTCACTCTAACCATTATAAACAGTGGGTAGCATTCAACATTGGTAACAGCTACAACAAGTTTATATCAATTTCCAACATTCAAATTTAATGAGCATGTATCGGCACATCCATTATATTACATTCATACAACTCTATAATCATCCCATTCAAGTACATCGCACATTTCTCATTCATGAAGTATTTTCCAGATTATTCTGCAAATTTTCCAGATTTAATATCATCCCTCAAATTGCCAATTGCTCATATACTTTGGTTTTAGGTTCTTTCTTGGGCAGCTCCCATTTTAATACCTTCAAACACATAAAGCTGTCATTATCCTATACCAGCAACATATTTAACAATCTAATTACTCAGCTAATATTTTAGGCATTATATAGAAATTTAATACCATTTTTCTTGCTTCAATTACAAACTAAAAACATTAAAATGGAATGGTTCAAATGTCCACACATATAATAATCCAATTTGAAACATGAATCAGAAAAATTCACATCAATAGCATTCTCAACATATTTCAGCTTCCAAAACAGCATTTAACAAGTTTAAATCAATTTTCAGCATCCATCTCATCCAGCAACAATAATATAACACGCAATATATATATATATATATATATATATATAGATATAGATATAGCTTAGCTATTCAAGCCTCAATAATTCAGTTTGGCCTCATGACAGCATCCTTCTTAAATCTGAATTATCATCCTCATTTACTAGCTATCATCACTTTTACTTAGCTTGATTATCATCCAACAGTCTCACGGCTTCCATTAAGAAATCTAGCAGCATTTTAATAGTCTAAACTCTAAACTACTGTTACAGTATCAATGATGGCAGCATTTGAAGGTTATATAAAAATATTCCAGCTTCACATATTCAGATGACACACCCATACACATATTCTTAGCAACTAAAGAAATTTCTCCCTTTTCTTTTCTTTTAGTTAGCTTGACCAAAGTTCGAAGTAAAAGAATAACTCAATGGCACGGACACACATCCAGCTCCATGTGTTTAATGTCATTTATACATAGTATTCAAGTGTTTAATGTCATTAATCAAATGCCCAAACGACTTCCCTTTCCATCTTATTCTGGAACCCGTTGCTACACCCACCAAAACAAAAGAGAAGGAGTACGGAAATCACTTTCAACATGACCAATCGCATAACATTCATATATATATGAATAAACTATTCAAGATTTATTTCCGACGAATAGCCCAAATTTCAAACAGTAACTACTCTTAGTTTAATCAAATATCCTATCTATTATCTTGCTTCAGTTTCAAACGTCTCTCCCCCTTAAATCAGACCCAAACGAAGAGGCAGAGGGTAGAGTGAAATCCAGAAGTTCACTTGGGTTCAGGGATCTCACTCACTCAATAAGTCTTCCTCCCTCACCCCTTAGGTTTCACCTTCTTCGATCCCTCAAATGCCATGATCCCAGAAAATGAAAACGGGGAAGAATCAAAGCATTTACCATGGTTCAAAGATCAGATTGCATGTGGAAAATCCTCCCTCCTTCCTCTTCTTCTTTCCCTTCGACTTGCTCCTCGGGTTCCCTCGGTTTCCTTCTCTCTCTCTCTCTCTATCCATTCATCTTCGCTGTATTTATAATTCCTCCTTGGCTTCTTTGAGAAGCACCGTGTCAGCGAAGGAGATGAGGATCTTGCCACTCAAGAACAAAATGTGGCGTATTGAGGAAGATGAGAAGCAGGGACGAAGAGGTGGCTGAAGATGGGAGAGGGACTGGAAACGTGCCCACAAAAAGGAGTTTGAAGCTGAAGCAGAGGGCATGTGGAGATGAGGATATGTTTAAAAGTCTACTTTGCCCTTCTCTTATAATTTTAATTTCAACTCTACCGTCTTCGGAAATTTACTCTAGTCTCGAATGGGCTTTTTTTACGTATACACTATTAGGGCTGCACATGGATAGGGCTGGGTAGGGCAGGGCAGGACCCTTGCCCGATGCCCAGTCCGAAAAATGAACGGGCTGAAAAATGCAGCCCATTGCCCGGCCCTGCCCATGAAAAGCCCTAATAAGTTTGGGCAGGGCAAATGCGGGCTGGGCAGGACGGGCTTCCATGCCCAGAAAATCAATATACTATATTATTTAACTAGTTATTTATGTTCTTCTAGATAATAAAATGTAATTTTATATTAAAATGGTAACTTGACTTTAATTTAGTTATTAGCAATTGATATATTATGAAACAACATTTTATAGTTGCTAAGAGGAGTAAACTATGAAAAACAAAAATTTTATTAGTATACTTTATTAAACTTGATTGCTTTTCTAATTTTTAAAATTTCTTAACCAAATGTAAATATTTTTTTCCCCATAACTCCTAGATACTCGTAAGAGCATGGATCAATTATACAAATTGCTAATAGTCATAATGTTTGCATTAAAAAAGAGAATGGTTATACAAATTGCAGTAAATGATAACACGTTTACTTTCAAAATCATTTAAAAATAAATAAGTATAATGAATATTGAATGTTAATTTAACAGAGTATTTGATTCAGAAGATAAATAAATGAGACAAATAAAATATATATAAATAAAATTATATATATTTTTGTGGGCAGGGCTAAATGGGCAGGGCAGCATACCGTGCCCGATGCCCAGCCCTGCCCGACAATATGCCCAGCCTGAATATGCCCAATATATCTTTTGGGCCATTTTTTTTAGGATGGGCTGGGCATTTTTTTGCGGGCTTGGGCGGGCATAGCGGGTCACTGGGCTCCTTGAACACCCCTATACACTATGTACAGTAAGTTATTTTGCTCAGATATTATAACATGAAAAATATTTATCGAAATACTACACTTCAAAATTGTTCAGGCAAAGATCACATTTAAATTTATGAAGAACTCGTTCTCACCAAACACAAGTTCAGTGGGTCCCACCTTAAAAAAGTGAAGTTGTAATCATTTAGGCAGAAATTGAGTTTAAATTTATAAAGAACTCCTTCTTATTGAGAACAAGTTCAAGTGGATCTCACATTTAAAATTATAGAACTCCTTGTCATAAAAAAGAGTTTAGTGGGTCCTACTTAAAAAGGTAAAGATGTTCATACTTCTGAACTTTGATTTTGTCTTCTAGTGCTATTGTCTTTTTTTCTTCCGTTCCTTTATCTTTTCATTATTCTTCTTTCTTTTTAGGTTTTTTCGGTTTTTTATAAGAGAGCTAGTGGTGTATGCTTCCTTCTTGTATATGTTTTATTTCAACTTAAAATTTGATTTTTTTTACCTAATTAAGGTACATTCTTTTGATTAACTTTTTTTAAAATAATTTTTATATGTATTTTATTAAATGATGAGTAGAATTTTATATTTAATCATTTTATATGTTACTTTATAGACCTTGTATATGTTGAATTTTATATTTCTCCAAATACTATAGTCAAACTCAATTCCCACTATGTAGTATTGGAAGAATTTTTATTCAATGTATACAAGGTCTACAAGGCAACATATAAAAATGATTAAGGGAGTGTTTGGATGGAATCAAAATCATGGTTTTGAAAATGTTTTTACGATATACGAAGTAAATATGTGGAGAAGTTTATATCAATTTGCAGAAAAATACTTTTTAAAAGCACTTCTGATGCTTCCCAAACATGTTTGGTCCGCTCGTTGACTAACATGGAATGGAATGAAGTGCACGAGAGAGTGAAGAGAGAAATACCAACACACACGAAGTACACTCTAGAAAAAGGAAACACACAAGACATCATATCCTTTATGGAAGAAAATTCCACACATGGAAAGCTCTCAAATAAATGTAGTTATCTTCTTTCGCTCAGCTTTTACAATGAGGCGACTGGATTGCCCGACCGAGGATGTTTTCTTGGAGAACACGCACCCACTTTTTATGGGATCCTTCCATACTGGTCTTCATTGCTAAAGAAACGGAAGAAAAATCAACTTTGACATTAATCTGCATGTGCGTCTTCCAGTTCTTGCTCTATTTGCTCAACAGATGTTAAAGAAACCAAACCCAAATCACAATGACCATTATGATTTTGTGAGTTTCCAAGTGGAATATAAACCTACCTTCAAACTTCCTTGAAAGGAAAAAGCCTGTTCCACCACCAGCTCCCACATTCATTAATTTTATATTTGCATTCCTTTATAACATATCATAGAGAAAGCCAGAGAAAATACCCAGTCTCTATCATAATCCAAGCAACCTAGTGATCATAATTCTTTGTCCTCAACAATTCTTTGTCCTCAATCTGCTAGCTGGTCAGAGTTCTCAACACTTCTTCTGTGTCCTCAAGAAGAGGGTTGACATGTTAGAAGAAGATCTCAACAAATGTACGATGGGATTCTGATGAAGTTTGTTGAGATCTTCTTCCAACTTTTCAACCCCTCTTCTTGAAATCTCCATCGATCTCAGCCCAGAGGTAAGACCGGTAGCTAAGCGCTGGCTCCAATCTCCTCTGATGTTCAATCCATCTCTGTGCATACCTATTTCGTCTAGGCTTCTTGACCATGTATGGTCCTGTGTCTTCATTCTTCAAGTGACTACAATAATTAGCTGATGATGTGCAGAATAGACTTCTTAGTTCATGTGTTTCTGATGCTTGTTTTTGTCTTTCCTCTTTATTTTCCCAGTAACAATATATCAATTTTTTTTTAAGAATGCTAAGTTTTCTGGGTGAGAAAATATTTGGCGAAAGTCACATTCTAGGAGACCGGGAAAAATAACTCCTAATGCTAGGCCCAAAAACTAAGATGAACTAATAATAAGTAGACCAAGGGATTCAGTGTGTTGCTGCTAGACTACGTGTGTCTGGGGATTTTTTGACATGTTTCTTTGTGTTTCAATTATTAATTAGATCCTACAGATAACTTTTTTTGTTAATTAAATTGTTTAAAATTTCGGCTATTAATATTTATCGGTGTGTATGTTACTAAATCCTGCTCACTTGCATCATTATCTTCTCTTTTGTCTTGTTTTTTCTTTTCTATTTCCTCTTCTCTATTTGTTAGAAAAAGTTGATTACGTACCGTAAGGCTTTATTATTCCTCGTTTTTTTTTCCTTAATCTATTCCTGTTTGTGCCAGGCTTAATAAAAATAATTAACTCCCATTGTCAACCAGCTGGCGACCTTTATGCATCAATGGGTTCAACGGCCTATCTCTGCGCATCTACGGCCACAGTATCAGCATGTGCACCATTTCCCATATTTTTTGTTTAAACTTGAAAGGGATAATGAGTTCGGCACGCTGTGTGCTTTCATCACTGATAAAAAAGGGAAGAAACAATAAACAAACTCTATGTTGAATTTTCTCAGGCCAATCACTGATTGACGACAAACAATGTATGACAAGATTCCCACACTTTCTTTTTTTCTTTTGTTTAAATTTCTCGGATCTGGAAATTTAATTCCCATCCTATGACAGATTGAAGAAATTTTACAAATTTTGGTGGCATCCTGAATTCTTGCCTTTGATAACTCATAATCTCATGTTGATCACGTAAGCCACAATGTAGCAGAGACGTCAAACCTTTCATGGATTGAAGATACAGACACAAACCTTACCAGCTCGACGTCTCTGTGTGTGTGTGCGCGCGCGCGCGTGCGTATACACATATTTTTGATACACACACTCGGAAATATATATATCTGTGTGTGTGTGTGTGTTTGTGCGCTTCTGAATTTGACCCTTGAACTGTTTCATCATGTTTGGCTATAAATGCATAAAAGTTAATCTTTCATTTAAAAGCTCAGGGCAAGTGATGGATGCATGCATAAGATATTTTAAAAAACCATATAAGTAAAAGTGGTCCGGTGAACATAGCAGAGAGCTATCTACTTAACTCTTTTGTATATTTAGTATGACCTTGTATGTACATAGCATTCCCTTCTCTTATTCCCCTTTCTTTCCATTTTATCCCATACCGTCTCCTACCTCTCCAGCACATAGCCATCTACTTTTCTCTTTATTAAGGTGCTTTTTCCTGAGTTTTGTAGCTCAACTAGTCCATAGTGGTTGGCTGGCTGTGAAAGAGGAAGATAGAAGGCAACGGTGGTAACTCGATGTGTAATTTCAAAGGAAAAAAAAAAAAAACACGCAGCACACAAACTTTAAGACTTTATGAATTATCAAGCAAATAAATTAAAATAGGGTAAAGTAGCATCCATCAACAACCTCATGTTATTTTCCAGTTCTATCTAATACTCTGATCTTATCTATATAGTGTTTCCAATATCTTAATGTTATTTTCTTTTGTGCTTTCAGTGTCTTAATTTCATTGATAATGCATCTAACATCTTAAACCATAAATAAGATTATGGTACTAGATGCATCTGAACAATAACATAAGCAAGAGAAGGACGCACCAGAAAAATAATAGGTGTCAAAGCTATATTTTACTCATATTTTACTGAGTAAAATATAAGATTATAAACATCACTTCATAATTAATGAAAAGAGCATCACCTTACAATGGACTTCTTCTCTGGCTCCTCATCTACATGTATCTAAAGCTCTCTCCAATGAAAGAGCACAAATTTCTTATTCCCCACTCGATCTTTCTCTCCTCTTCATTAGTGTCTCACTCTCTACGGCCGTCTTCATCCTCGCCCTTTAAATTTGTTAAGAGGGCCTTCAACAATTTGTAGACATTTGGTTCTCATTGTTGTTTGCTTTCCTTCCTGAAATAGGGATTCATTTGGTTGCAAGAAATCTATGCTTTATTGATTCACTAAAGATGAGAATGGATGGAAGGAGAGATGCATAAAGTTTCTGAAGCACAAGGCTAACTGGAAG